TGGGAGACCAATAGGCCTGGGAAACAGTAGACATTCTGAGGCCAGGCCTCTGGGGCTTATTAAGCATTTTCTATGAGGTAGGCCACAGCAACCCAGTGAAGGAGAGAGAATTAGCCCATTTTACAAGTAGGAAAACCAAGGCAGTTTGCTTAAGGTCACTTATTCATGACTGGGGTTTGAATCCACCTCCAAATCTAAAGTCATGTTTTTTCTGCTTATACCCTGCTGCTTGCTCCTTTGTTTTTTTTTTTTTTTTTTCTTAAAATAAAATTACGACAGGGAGGAATTTTTGCCATCACTTCTCCACCCTCCAAGTTCCCTCAGAGGCTTCCTCAGTCACAGAAGCCTCCACTTGAGTGAGTTAATGTGGTCATGACTGACAGAGATGAGGGTGGGTTGGCAGAGGGCACAAAACAGGGTGGCTCCAGAAAGGTACAGGGAGCGTGGGCTCAGGTGGGGACAGAGGGAGGGACAGCCTGGTGCTCCCTTCCCCCACCAGGTCCCGCCCACCGCACCCTCCCCGTCCTGGGTTCTGTCTGAAGGCAGCTAGCCACTTTGTGGTTTGCAAAACTCTGCACTGTAACTACCCACAGGCCTTCAGGCCACGGAGATATCACATAGCCTGAGCTGTTCAAAAAGAAGGCTGTCCCCCCGATAAAACCAAATGGGACTAATGAGAGGTACAGTAGTCCAGTGACAAGGGCCAGAAGGCAGAGGGGACAAGGAAGCTGGTGATAGGGAACCCAAGGTTGAGTAAGGATATTGTTGATGTGTTGTGAGATTGTTAACCATTGTCATAGGGCAACGTGTAGTAACTGTTAAATGAGAAACTATTTTGTTCTGTAAGCCTTCATCTTAAGTGAGAATAGCAGCACAATTGGAAGAGCGTAGTCAATGTCACTGAACTGTGCATGTAGAAATTTTTGAAATGGTGTATCTTTGGCTATGTGTATTTTCACCAAAAAAAAAGGTTGAGAAGTTAGAGGGTTGACATGTTGTAGGGTTGTTAACCAATGTCATAAAACAATATGTGTACTACTGTTTCATGAGAAACTATTTGTTCTGTAAGCCTTCCCCTGAAGTATAATAAAAAATAAAATAAAATAAAAAAAGAAGGCTGCCCCTTCTCTGCACAGGCCTCTGCCCTCAGGACCAGAAGGAGTTCTTACCACATCCTTCCTTAGTCCTACAGCTGGCTGCCAACACCGTCTCAGCAGCTCCCCTCTTCAAGGTCCCAGAGGGGACCTAGTTCCTAGGCTATGGGGGGGACACCCCCTCATTAAAGGGACTTCTCTTCCTTACCTTGTTTCCTCCTCAGCACGGATCAAGGGCATCATGAAAGTAAAGTGATCTGCCCAAGGTCCCTCACCTTCTCTACAGGCCACTCACCCGGAATGGCCAACAGTAGGGCAATTCAGTGGGGACACAAGGGCCACAGCCAGTCGACAGGCCCCGGCTCAGGTGCTTCCTGTTATGTTAGCCCCTGGGCCTGTCCAGCAGCCCTCACAGAGGAAGAGGAAGGGAGTCAGACCTTAGTGAGCACAGCGGTGCTCTCACACGAGGGAATAAAAACTCGTTGCCGTTGAGTTGATTCCGACTCACAGCCATCTATAGGACAGGGTACAACTGCCCCACAGGGTTTCCAAGGCTGCAGTGTTTATGGAAGCAGACTGCCACATCTTCCTCCTGCAGAGCAGCTGGTGGGTTCAAACTGCCAACCTTTCAGATAGCAGCCGAGTGTTTACCCACTGTGCCACCAGGGCCCCTTTCACTAGGGAATGGGGGTGGGGGGTGGGGCGACATTGTAATCCCCCTTGGAAGGGTGAAGAAACTGAGACCCCCTGAGGCAGAGACTGACCTGAGGTCCCTTAGTGGGATTTAAACCTTGGCAGCCAGACTCAGAGCGCTTTCCACTGGCCCAGGGATCCCAAAGGGCGCTCGGTGAAGCCCTGAGGTTCCACTGAGATGTGTCAGGGTACCATAAGTCAGGGTCAAGGTTCACCCCTGACCAAGACCAGGCTCTGAGGTTAAAGTAACAGTTGGAATCACCATTTTGGAGCCATCATAGGAAAGACTTGTTCGGGCAAGAATAATCAGTGGATACTAAATCTAAGGGGCAATTTTGATGAGATACAATATCTTTGCACGGTATTAAAATATCTCTGAATATGAAAACATAACAGATTTCATATTAATTGCAAGGAAAGAAAAAACAAAAAAACCATTAACTATACAGTGAAAAAAACTGGACCCCTTGACCAGGTGATCACAGTGAACACTTCCAGCCATGATGCCCTGAGAAGGCCCCAGCATCACCTATGTGGTCTTGGGGCTGAGAACACATAACCTCAATCTAATTATGAGGAAACCTCAGACAAACCCCAAATGGGGAATGTTCCCTTAAAAAGGGAAGAGGGGGCTGTATTCCTTTGAAAAGGACAACATCATGTGCGATGTGAGGTTGTTCGCCATTGTCATAGGGCAGCATGTGTACTAACTGTCAAAACGAGAAACTATTTGGTCCTGTAAGCCTTCATCTAAAGTGAGAATAGCAGCACAATTGGAAGAGCGTAGTCGATGTCACCGAACTGTGCGTGTAGAAGTTTTTGAAATGGTATATCTTTGGCTATGTGTATTTTCACCAAGAAAAAAAAAGGTCGAGAAGGGAGAGGGTTGACATGTTGTGGGACTGTTAACCAATGTCATAAAACAATATGTGTACTGTTTCATGAGAAACTATTTGTTCTGTAAGCCTTCACCTGAAGTACAATTAAAAAAAAGAAAAAAGAAAATGACAACATCATGAAAGACAAAGACAGGTTGTGGAAATGTTTCAGATTAAAGAGACTAAAGACACGTGACAATTAAATGCAACACTCGATCCACCCTGGATCCCACACCAGAGGAAGAATAAATGTAATAAAAGGATATTATTGGGTCAAATGACAAAATTCCAAGACAAACCACAAGTTATTGTATCAACGTTAAATTTACAGTTGGTAACTGTACTGTGATTGTCTGAGAGAATATCCTTATTTTAGGTACTACACGTGGATGCATTTAGGAGAAAAGGGCCATGGTGTATGCAGCTAAATTCTCCAATGATTCAGAAAAAAATGATGCATCTATGAGAGAATGTGCAAATGATAAAACAATTGGGGTGAATTTGGGGGAAAAAACAAACCCGTTGCCATCAAGTCGATTCCAACTCACAGCAACCCTACAGGACAGAGTAGAACTGCCCCTTAGGGTTTCCAAGGAGTGGCTTCTGGATTCGATCTGCCAACCTTTTGGTTAGCAGCCAAGCTCTTAACTACTGCGCCATCAGGGCTCCAGTCTGGGAAAAGGGTATATGGTGTACTTTGTACTATTTTTATTCTTGCAACTTTTCTGTAAGTTTGAAATTATTTCCAAATAAAAAGTTGAAAAAATATTTTGAAAAGCATTGACCCTTAGCTCCCAGCCCATAAAAGATTGGTAGGAGGGGGTGAGATTGGAAGGGCCTCAGTTTAGCAAAGATGGAGCCCTGAGGGACGGCAATGCTCCCAGCCCAGCCGATGGCAAGGGGCCCAAGAATCAAGTCTGGGGGAGCAGTGATGTCACTAATCAACCTGTCTCCTCCCGCTTCCTTGAGGCCAGCTCTGGAGCTGGTCCCCACACCAACAAACAGGCTGGAGCAGAGAAGTTCCGTAGTAAAGGATTTATTGCCAAACTTCAAGAAAGGCGCTCGGTAAGCAGAAGACACAGGATGCCACCCTCCAGGCAGGCAGGCACAGCAGGCCCTGGCTATGGCGGCTGCTCCTCCCCCTCCTACAGAGGCCAAAGCATGGGAAGCCCATGGGCACTAACAGCAGGCATGAGACCAACAAGGTGGCCCACAGCTATCTGTCCAGCCTGGAAGCTGACAGATGAGGAAACTAAGGCTCCAATTCCTGGGAGCAGGTGACTTGGCTAAAGCCCCAGGCAGCTCTGGCTGCTGGTAGGGGTGTGCTGTTCCCCGAGGGAAGATGGAGGGGGGGCCGTGACTGTGGGCTCCTGGTAACATACCTGCTGTCATGTCAGAGACAGAGGGAGGGAGAGAGGCAAATCATGGCAGAGAAACCCACTTCGCTCCAGGAGGGTGGTTTGAGGCCAGGGGGGTACTCGGGAGCCATGGCGCAGCTGCTCACTACCCCCCTGCAGGCCACAGTGGACTTTGTCCCTTGTGACCCCTGCCACTTCCTTCAAGAACAGAGTGAAAGCACAGTAAAGAAGGCCTCGGCCTGTGCTGGCAGGCCCTCAGGGGGCACAACTGGTGCCTGGGACTGGCCCAGTGGGCAGAAAGGCCAAGGCATGCTACTGCGCCCTCCCTCTCCCATCTTTCTGGAAACAAAGTTCACATATAGAAGTGTCCTGGGCTGGCCTGTGGCTCTGCCCCTGGTCCAGCCACTGCAGCAAGGTGGAGGCTGGACAGCTGCAGAGCAGGGGGCAGCCCCAGAAGGGCCTGGCAGAGGCCGGGGAGCAGGATGGGGATGGTTTCAGGCCCTGACATACCTTCATCAGCATCTGAAGAAATGACAGGGATATTAATCTGTTTGGGTTGAGAAGGAACCAGAGACCCAGCAACAAACCCCATCTGGGGAGGCATAGAAGTTGGAGGGGCGTATCTTCTGAAGGTCGGTTTATGATCATTACCTACAGGTCTCTCTGAGGTTGACGTCAGAGCCACTCTGAGGCTTGCCTCTTCAGAAATGTGCAAGGCTGAATTCTTCCGCCTTGAGGTCCTCCAGAGCTAAGCCCTCCAATCACAGCTCACCAGAGGGCAAGGGCCTGCAGAAAACCTCATCATATAGAACAGGAAGCACAGGCCCAGAGAGGGGCCACAAAGCCACGGCTTCGGCCGAGCTGCCTCCCACCTGCCTTGAGAGGCCCCTCTGGGTTCCAGGTCTCACCCAGCTGAGGCAGGAACTGAGCCCCACGGCCTGGGCCCAGGGCCTCTGCAGCTACTTGGAATAGGTGGGTAGGGGTGGGGGTGGGAGAGGGGCTGGCTTTAAGATGGCCTCTGCCGGGAGGGTTCCCTGACTGAAAGTATCTGGAGATGCGGGCTGCAGGAGGGCTCAGCTGTGCTCTATTCAGAAGTCAGGAATGTAAACTACTGAGGGTGGGGAACAGAGATGATGCCACCCCCAGAAACCCCAGGTGCTGTGTCAAAGCCCTGGGGCGTTGAGAACAACCACACAAGCTCCCAAGCCCAGACCCTGGAGACCAGGCCAGATAGCAAGGCAGTGGCCTAGGTGGCAGCTGGCACCACTGGCCTGCCCAGGCCAGGGTGGGAAGGACATGCAGGAGTCTCGGCAGTTCCTGGCCAAATCCTGACATGCCCAGTGGCCCTTCCACAGCCTGAGCAGGAGCACATTTCTTGCAGGGCTGGGCTTTGATGGACTGAGTCGGCCAGGAGGAACTGTGCCTCTGACCCGGAAGGCCCTAGGGTGCACTTCTCCTGTAGAGGGTCACCAGCTCCTTCCGCTTCTCCCTTAGCCCAGGAGCTCCCTGGCTCAGTGCCCCCAAATCTCTGATTTCCTGCAGGACCTGAGTGGCCTGTCTCAGCTGCTCCACAGCGTGGCTGAGCAGTGCCTCGGGGCTGTCAGGGGCCGGCTCAGTGCCCCGTACCTTGTTCAACAGTTGCTCCGTCTGTTCTGAGGCCACCCTCACCTCCAGCTCAGCCCGATACAGCCGTTCCCTGGGCTGCCGTGGACGCTGGGGGCCCTCCCCAAGCAGGTCCCCAAGGGAGGAGCAGCGGGGATGGAACTGAGGTGGCAGGTCCCAGACAGGCAGTGCGGTGGACATTGCTGCATCCTTCTGGTGGATTCCTGGGGCGGCCGTGGCCTTGGACAGCTTGGTGGGCTCAGAGTTGTCATCTATGCCATTCACTGAGACCTGGGCTGGGCCTGGGGCAGAGATGTCAGGGACCCCAGGACTCTGGGCTAGCCCAGAAGGCTCCATGCCACTCATGGAAGCTCTCAGTTTCTCCGATATGATCTTGGGTGGGGGTGTAGGGGGCTTCCTACTCTCCTTGGGGGCAGCCTCAGAAGTCTCAGAACAGTGTAGCTGGGGTGCTCCTGTGCTCTCAGGAGCGAGGGGCTCCTCGGGGCTGGGGTTCTCCCAGCTCATCTTCAGTTTGTCAGGCATGATACCGTTGCGGGGCTGCTCAGGGCCCCTGCCCTCCCCAGATGGGGTCTCTGAGTCCTCTTGGCTCTCAGCGTGGGTCTCAGTGCTCGCTGAGGTGGGGGTTGAAGCTCTCTCCCCTGCAGATGTCTCTACCCTGTCACCAACACTGGGTGTCTCAGGCGCTGAGGAAGTCTTGGTGGGAGGCATGAGGGGCTGGAACTTCTCCTGGGGCTGGGCTACACTGCCATCATCGCTGGGGGTAAACACTGGTGGCCCGCTGTCCAGAACATCGAGGTCCAGGCGTGAAAGCCCGTCAGAAGCTGCGCTGGCCACCTGGTGGGGGGGGCAGTAGATGGGCATCATCTTGGATGACTGGCTATTGGGTCAGGTATGCCCACCTATAAGGCTTCTCAAATCCTCTCATCCACGCTGCCCAATCCCCCAGCCCCTACCAGCCACTCCCTCTGCCCTGGCTTCCAAGGCCGCTGGGTTAGAAGCAGAAGTGACTTCCTGACGACTCCTCTCCCACACCCCTAGAGAATTCTGTTTTGGAATCGCAGGCCAGGAAGTCAGAGGCAGGTGCCCTCTCAGCACCCCAGCCTGGCTTCTCCCAGCTCTTGAAAGAGGCCATTCTACGTTAGTGGCAACCGTGCCGGCCTGGGCGGCAGGGGACATGGTTTCCGCCCTGTTTCTGCCCCCTACCTGTACGGCCTTGGGAGGGTCCCTTCTCTACAACCCGCCCACCTGCCACCATGTCCACAGTCCCCTCAGCCAGTTGGTGACAGGAGCAGGACTCAGATTCAGGTCTCCAGAGTCATCTCCAGTTCACTCATTTCTGCCTCCCCATAGACCCCTGTCCGGTCTGCCAGCCCTGCACCCAGCCCTCTGGCCAGGCCGCTCGAGCCCTTGCATGCCCAGCTGCTCGGCACCCTGTGCCCACTCTCCTCATGTCATCAGATGGGGTCCCAGACACGGGCAGCCCCAGGCCACAGCTGACTGCCAGAAGACAACAGCTGTGCCAAGCAAATGGTTGTCCCCCCCACCTGGCTCCAGGGACCCTTGAGGACACCCAGCAACCCCATGGTCATGGGGAGTTGCTTCCTTTCCTCAGAGGCCCAGATGCAGGGCTGACAATGAGGCCTCTCCCCAGGTTCCTCAGAAGGTAGTGTCCTGGTTGGGAGCCTCAGATCAACAAGCCTAACCCTCATTCCTTTTACATTTACACACCAGTGACCTGGGCGACACGTTCACTCAGTCACTGGGACCACCAGAGGCCCGGCCACATACAGTTCCCTCCCTGAATTCTTCTCAGAGGGGTCCCTCTGTCCAAGGCTGCCCCTCCCCCCAACATCGCCTGGCTGTCCCCCTCAGGTCTTGCTTTCCTCTCGGGCAACTTGAGCCACTCCCTCTGTAGGCTCCTTTCCCTCAGCTTAAAGACACGAACAGGCGGCTTCGCCTCACAAACAAATCCTCCAACACCCTTGGGCTCCTTTCTTCTATGTGTGGTTCTGCCTCTTGCTTCTCTTCCACAGCGCCCTTCCCTCCAGAGTCCCCACAACAGCACTAAGCTGACTCTTTCTCTTGGAAAATATTCTATTAATGTCCCCACCTGCCTTTTCCTTAGTCCTGCCCTTATGACTAGTTGCTGCCGCCTGGCTGATGACCCCTGGGTTCTGTGCCACTCACCTCTGCCTTCTCATTATTGGCTCCTTGGTGGCTGCTCTTCCCTCACCCTCAGGCCTCCAAAATCTCTTCCTCACCACCCACCACAGACCCATCAGCTCCACTGGTCTGAAAGGGGCTTCCTCCCTCTTTCCAATTCCCTGTGCTCAGGGCCTCCATTCTCCCATCTCGGGCTTGGGGAGAACCTTCCCTCCCTCCGTGTAATCCTCCTTTGCCAGGCAATCTCCCAGTCAGCAGTGACACTCAGCATACCTTCAACTCTCCTGCCTCGAACATCAGCTCCCACCATTCCCTCCACTGCAATCCCTCTCGCCCCCAGTCTACCAACTGAAACCCTCACCATCCGTCAAGGGTTAGCTCCTCAGTGGTCCCTCTCTGCCCTGGCCTCCCAGAGCCCTCCTCTGTACAAAAATTAGACACAGCTCTCCTCCCAGCTGTCTGCGGACAGGTCCATCCTCCTGGAAGACCTGGAAGCTGAGCTCTGAGGAGCAGGGAGGCAGGGACTGGCTAAGGTCAGTGTGTGGACTCAGTAAATGAAGCAGGCTCTGGGCTCTGGGACATCTACAGTCCGAGCACATATAACACAGCTGCCTCCACACACACAGACACCCCTGCAGACTACTCAGGAGCCCCCAACTCCAGGTGTCCTCAGGAAAAAAATGGCCCCAAGCCTGGTTGCCACCCCAGGGATCTGTGGTCCTAGGCTCAACTGACCTCCCACCCGACCGAGCCAGGGGAAAGCCCTTACTTCTTTCAGGTGGACTCTCGTGGGCGGCCGGCGCCGCTGGCCCCCCCGCACCCGGTCCCGTGTCACGTGCTCCAGGGCACAGCTCTTGTCCACCTTTACCTGGGAAGAGAGGGGAACCAGGTCAGCCTCCACCAGGCCTTGGGGAGATTGGGAAGTGCCCAGGCATTAACATGACCCAGAGGCAGGGTCTGTACCTGCCATCCTCGTTTAATGAGGTCAGCGTCCCACCCATTGCCCCTCTCTGAAGCGTCTCCCTGTTTCTGGACGCCTGCTTCTCCGTGTCTCTGCACTGCCACGTCTGTCTCTGCAGAGTCTGAGGTACTCCCTCTCTCCCTCAGTCTTCCTGTCCCATCATGGGCTGTCAGCCCTGCTCCTCCGTCTATTATAAAGACCCAGGAAGCTTGAGGCTGTTTGGAGACTTAGTTGTGGGTTGGGGGTGGGGGCTGAGCAGTAACTATGTGCCCAGCCCAGACCCTGTGGTACCTGAGAAAAGGCCACTCTCCCAGGACCCCTGAGGCTAGCCCAGGAAAGAGCAGGGCCTCTGCCCCCTCGCCGGGATGTCTGGACGGAAGCATCTCTTCTGAGGGAAGGAACCAGGGTCAGGAGAAGCTGGGAAGCCCCAGAGTTTGGTTCACATGGGAAACCAGGCTAAGGGCCGTGGAGCAGCCTGATGCTGTGATGGGGAGCGAGGCTAAGACTCCTCATCCCAGGTCTGCCGGGGTCCAGGCCCACTGTGGGGAGGGGGCTGTCTCTGTTCTCAGTGGAGGAATCACGCTGCTTCACCAAGACTGTGGGGAGGCCCAGCCCATGGCTCCTGGGCCCTCTCCCAACCCCCACGATGTGGCCCATCATCCCTCTCCCTAAGATGGGGACACTCTCTCCAGGTAGTGAAGGACTGAGCGTGACACAGTCACATAGGAGAGACTCAGCAGCCAAGGGCTGGGAGTCAGGGGACCTGGGTATTAATGGAAGACTTGGGAAGATTCACCCCACCCGCCTTGGGCCTCAGTCCTTCTGCAATCGAAGGGGTCACTCAAGATGGCCCCCAAGATCCACTTCAGCCAAGACAGCTAAGAACCCATGGTGTCAAAGACAAACCCTCCCCAGGAGCCTGGCCTCACGGGACACCCTGCCCACCTCAAGACTGATCATGGCCACCGCTGCCACAGTCACCACTACTAGCACAGAGGGGTGAGGTCTACAGGGCTGGGTCACTACAGACAGACAGGGAGGCCCAGGGTCAAAAGCAAGTCCAGCCCAGGACTTTGTGGCCAAGCTGAAAAGGGAGCTTTCAGGCTCCCAGCTCACCTTCAGCCTCTGTAGCCTGGGTCTGCCTGCTGTTCCCGGCTGAGGCTGGGTTGAAAGGATGCAACTCACATAGCTGCAATCAGATCGATTCCATCCCACCACTGACCTGCTTTTTAATTTAAGATAAGTTACTTAATTTCCTTATGCCTCAGTATCCTCATCTATAAAATGGGGACTATCACCACCAACTGTGTGGGGGGGATGTTGTGAGGATTAAATGAAGTGACAACAGCAGATGACCCAGTGTTTGTAGCAGTGACATAATCGAGGGGTGTCTGGGATGAGGTGGGGGCAGGGTTATCTCTCAGACGGCACACAGGCGGATGGACGGGAAAGTGGGGATGCAGAGCCACCCACAGGGCTGCAACGCACCTCGTCAAGGATCTTGTTCTTGCCTCGGTTGATTCCTTCATTGAGGGCTTTGATCCAGGATTCCTTCTCCTCCCCGCTGGGTGCCTGGAATTTGATGTCGCTGACCTGCCAGGTGGATGGCAGACGTTTTACAGGGCTCATATTTGGGGTCTTAAGGAAACTTCCCACCCAGCTCTCAGAGTCTGCCCCAGGCACAGCTGGCTGGGAGCAAACCAAAACGAGCCCCACAATGTCTCTGATACCACAGCTTTGGGAGCCTGGGCGGGTAGATCCAGCAGAGAAGGGGCTGTCCCCCAGCATGGAGCTACCAGAGGTTTGGGTTAGAATCAGCCTTGCCCAGTGGAAAGAGCCCGAATCTGGCCCCTGGCCCAGGGGACTCTCCCAGCAGCCACCTGACCTCTGGGCTTCAGTTTCTTCTCTGTAAAGAAGTCCCAGTCTACATCCACGCCAGGCAAGGCAGAGGTGACAAACGTGAAGCGTATCCACTGCTGAAGGCCCACTGGAACCAGGGCCTCACCTCAGCTCCACAGTGGGCCCCACACCCAGCCCAGACTCCTCCTAGAGGAGGTCTCTTTTCTGGCCTTGAATCACAGACTATCAGAGAGGAAGGGCGTTGGGTGTTCCTCATGAGGAAAATGAGGCTCAGTAGATGGGACAGGATATGGTCAAGGTCCTATGTGGTCTGAAGTACATCCTATGAGTGCTGATCCACAGACTCTACCCCTACCGGTCCCTTCCCATCTCCAGCGGGAGGTCTGAGCTCCTATATTGGAATCATAGGGCGGCTCAGAGAGGCCCTCCTTGACAGGCCCGCAGCCAGGCAGGAAATGAGTGGGAAGGAATTAGGCCAGGGAAACTGAGCATGGACAGAGCAGTGGGGCCTCAGACCAGAGAGTCCCTGCTTACAGCCGTCTGGCCTTAAGCCTCAGTTTCCTCATCTGTAAAAGGAGACCACCGCCACGACCTGCCTCGTGGAGATGAGAAGATCACTGAAAAATGACCCATGGCGGCACCAAGTCCAGAACTGGGCACAGCGAGTGCTCGGCGACAGGCATGGTCACCGCCGCCTGCCTTCTGGACAAAACGCTCCCAGTTTCCTCATCTCAGACATGGGATGATACCGCCTACCCCAGAGCAATGCTGAGGGAATTAAACATGAAGCAGGCCAGGACCCGGCACGCAGTAGGTACTCCAAATGTTTACTAAACGATTGAGCCCATCAATGACTAAACTGACCAGAGGTTCTTTCCCTCACTTCATCTTTGGGCACTGCCCACTCTCTGACCTTAAGATGCCCTAGTTCTTTGTCCGGCGGGTGGCCAGCCTACCCTTCCCCCAGCCTGGCGTTAGATAACGCCATCCCTCCCGCCACTCTCCCAGTTATGTAACACTGAGTAGGCCTGGCCCCCTCAGCATCCGTGTTATATAACTTCCTCCCGGCTGCTGCCTCCTTCCCTTCATACGGGGCCTGGGTACCCGCCACTCCCCCACCCCCAGGCCTCATTTGCATGACCAGGGTAAATTTGATCCTGGCAGCACATCTGCAGTGAAGTCAGAAACCCCAGGGCACCCTGGCAACTGCCTCTCGGCCCAGCCACCAGGGCTCCACGGGGCTCTGGAAGGGACAGCGCTGCATCTGGTGTCCCTGCAATGGGGGCCGGCAGAAAGGGAGCCAGGGCCAGCCCCTCTGACCCCAGCTCCTGCTCCGGCCACAGGCCCTGGGTTGGCCAAGCACCCGTTCCGTGCAGGACCTCGTCCGCAGAGAGCCTGAGAAGGACACACTTGGACTCAGCAGCAGGAGCGGCACGAGTGGGACAGAGGAAGGAGCACTGGCCTGGGAGTCAAGGGAGTGAGGTCACCCTACACAGGCCCTTCACTACTCTGGGCCTTAACAGACAAGAACGGAACCACTGGACCGGCCTAAACAGGCCCCTTCCCCTTCGCCCAGCCAGTGGTGGCAGGCTTGGGGGAGGGGTCTCTGCTCTCTTCTCTGCAGTGAGAGAATGTGGCCTCAGGGAAGACCTACTATACTGCCAGCCCAAGGGTTCCCATAAGACGTTAAATCAGGCCCAGCCCTACCCTAAGGAACCCTATAATCCTGGCTGGATAAGCCAGGCATTCCACAAGGATGATCAGAATGGGCACAATTAGAATATCAAGAAAATCAAGAAGTCCCTCCTCCAGCCCCACCCCTGTGCCCTGAAGAGCAGGCTGCACAGGTGCCTGCCCTAGGCCCTTCCCAAAAGCCCCTGAGAGGGACAGGCCCAGCTAGGAATGTAAAAGATAACAGGGATGGCCTCAGAATAGATCCACGTGGCCTGGGAAAAGGCAAAGAGGAAAGAAGTGGGAGGGGGAGAGAGGAGGAAACGGGAAGGGCAAGCTGGCCGCCACCAGTGGGGCAGCAAGGCCCGGCCATGGCCATCCTGCTTCCTGGCAGCGGCGGCCTGTGACCTCATGGGCAGGGGCGTGGGGATGGGAAGACAGGGGGAGAAGAGGCATTCAAGACACTGGAGTCTTTGTTTATTTGATTAGAGGGAAAAAAAGGCAGCCTCGGGACCAGACAGCCAGGGTCACGGGACCTCCTGGCCTGCCGGGCTGGCGGCCCTGCTGAGGGTGGGGAACACCCAGGGCGATGGAAAGGAAGGTGAGAGGATGGTCTGGGGCAGTCCACCCTCTGACCTCTGGAGAGCCCCCACCCTCTGGGGGAGCTCCTGGGGGTGACAAGAGTCAGGGGGCCCCTGAGCTGGAACCCGGGTGTGCTGCCCCCACCAATGGCTCCACAGTTCCATATCTCCAATTGATTGCCCTGCTCCCAGAGTCGCCCAGGGCCAACGTGAACTCTTGGCAGGGCTGGGGGGAGGGGGGAGGGTGCGGGCTGAAGCAGCAGAGAACGCAGCTGCACAAACAGGCCTCTGTGAAAGGCCCACCTAGCCCACCACCAGGGGATTCAGAGCTGGAGAAGGGAGGCAGGCCCAGGGCAGCATGTGCAGAGGACAGCAAGGCAAGGCCCGTCCGCCCCACATCCATATAAGCACGCTAAGAAGCACAGAAAACCCAGACAGACTCATGGCCAGGCCAACACCCACCTTCACATAAAGAGGAGGACACACAGCAGACACACAGGAGCAGGCCTTCACGCACAATGCACTCTGCGTCTCTCTAACTCCTGTGTACCTACCCGGCACCCACTCACACAGGAATCAGCTCTCCAGGGCAGGGTAAGGGCTCCTGGCCTGAAAGACCAAAGTGTGGCTCTCCTCTTCCTCAAAGAGCCCGCAGCCGCGGATGTCACGTGAGACTGGGCCCAGCCCCGTGAACCCTCTAGAAATCCACCCTGACTCTGGGCACATTGCCCAATAGCCCCCTTTGAGGGGATGGCATCGTGAGAAGATACAAGGAGGTATCAGAGCTCTACAGCCCCCTTCACTGCTGTCTTGGTTGCTTCTTTGCCCCCACTCACCACAGAGCAGAACGAAAGGTTGATGAGCAAAGCATCGTGGTCTCCTCCAGGACCTCGGGCCCCGGGAAACCAACGGCTGGGCTCCAGGCCCCCAAAGTTGGAGGAAAACCAGAATAGCCTCCAGCAAGCCCAGACTCAGAGCTGCTACCCAGCCCCCCGCTTCTGTGACTCAGCCCGACTCTGTGAGGCTCCACATGATGTGCAGAAGTCGGGGTCGGGGGGGCGCACAGTGTGGCCCAGCTGCAGATGGGCGCGAGCTGGCGATAGGTGCTCTACACACCAGCCTCAGAATTTCAACTCCCTGCCGACATCTGTGAAACCACGCCATGTGTCAACAGCCACCCGGACTCCCCACCAGGGAAATGTGCACACGCGGCGTGTCACAGGGAAAGAACCTCGCAGCAAAGACAGAAAACTGCAAGGGGAGGAAAGCTGGGCGGCTGCAGGCCTCTGAGCACTGAGTCCAGGATGGGGGCAGAAGGGTGGCTCACCCAGGAAACCCTGGACTGAAGAGAAGGCCACACCCTCCCTCTGCCCCAGCTCACGGCAGGGTGTTGGAGGCCTTGCCCACAGCTCTCCTGCCCTCAGCCCAGCGCCTCCTCTGTCCAGGGTGTGGGGGAGGGCCAAGGGCCTCACCCCTCAAAGACAACTTTCCAATTACAGCCTGGGAAGGAGGCCCCGGGGCCTGGCGGGAGAGAGGGGAGCAACGCTCTCTCACAGAGCCCAAATGCATCTCCTGTCAACCAGGGGCTGGGGAGGCACCAGGACAAAATGAAGCAAGGCCCAACCTGGGGCAGCCCCTGGGTCTGAACCTTCCAGGGTGATCTTCCCAAGTAGAATGGCCTGGAGGGAGACCAGGCGGCAGTGGGCACCTCCCTACCTTGTTCCCTGGGGATCGCAGCAGGATAAAGCGATGTTTCCGTTTGAGGAGGGCACGAAGGTCCTGGCACTTCTCATAGCTGCCGAGCTCCACTGTTTCTACACACTTCTGCTCATCCTGGCAAAGGAGACAGAGGGGACACAGGCTGGTGAGAGCCAGACGCAGCCAGACCCTCAGCCACCCAGGCCACACCCCAGACTCTGATATCACTCAGCGAGGGCATTATGGTCGGGGAGGAGCCTCAGGCTGACACTCAGTCACCAAGATGCGGTATTCAGACCCCATCAGGCGCCTGGCTGGTGCTCAGCGCTGTCTGCAGGGGTGCACTGGAGGCTAACCATGCACGTGAGACACGGGGCACCCACCCTGGGTTGGGTCAAACGTGCCGAAGGCCAGAGGAAGAAAGAGAGGGGGATGCTGGAGAGGCCCAGAGGCCAGGCAGAGGCGTGTGCAAGAGGTAGCCTGGAAGAGGGAGCAGGATGTCGTCAAGTGGGAAAAAAGGAAAAGGCAGAGCTACAGAGCGAAGCATGAAGAAGGCAAGTTTGGGGCGCCACGCCTTGCCTTCACCACAAAGTGATCCTGCCTTTACCACAAGCCGGCTCCCCGACCTGGCATCTTTCTCTGGGGCCCCTCACCCCAGCCTGTAGGTCATACAGAGGAGAGCCAAGGGCTCCGGCCTGCTACCCTGAAGACTCTTCCAGGCCATCCCTGGACACTGGCCAGGCTGCCTTCCTACCCAGCAGCCCTTACTCACACTTGAGTGTTTTCTCCACAGGCTCAATCCACCAGGTACCTCTCCAGGAAGCTGCCAGGGATGAGTTCCCTCCCTCAATGTTGGTCAACTGCTTCGCCTTCCAGGGAAGACCAAGTTGGAACAACTTCCAACTCGCCTCACTTGAGAAGCAGGCCCTTCCTGGGGGTACACCGCCCTGAGACTGGCTAACAAGTTATGAAAACCCTGGCTGCTGGACATCAGGCAGAGAGCCCACGAGAGCACCCAGCCAGAGAGCATACAGTGCTCAGTAGCTTCAGTTTGGGAGGCAGGGACGTGATTGTTTCCAGAGAAGATGCCCCAATTTCCCTCTGTGTTAATCTGCGTGGACTGAGAGACCTTGACACTTGGCAAGCGCCTCTCCATCAGTGTTATCAACAGGCTGCTCTACATAGTGGTCTTAACTGTGTAGTTCTTCAACCAGCAGCATCAGCATCCCCTGAGAACTTGTTAGACGTGCAAATCCTCAGGCTCTATCCCTACTAACTCAGAAACTTGAGGGAATGGGCCTGGCAATCTGAGTTTTAACAAGCCCTCCAGGCAATTCTGATGTACTACACCAGTGGTTCTATACTTTGGTGGCACTTGGGAGCTTCTAAAAACCCAATGTCTAGGCAATATCCCAGATCAATTACATTAGGAACTCTGGAGGTGGGGTCCAGACCGACAATAGTATATTTTAAAGCTCCCCAGACGATTGTACAGCCAAGGTGGATAACCACTAATCTATGCTCTCTTCAAGGGCAGTGGTGGTTCCGTGGTAGAATTTTCACCTTCCAGGTGGAAGACCCAGGTTGATTCCCAGCCAACGCACCTCATGTGCAACCACCACCTACCGGTCAGTGGAAGCTTGCATGTTGCTATGTTGCTGAACAGGTTTCAGCACAGCTTCCAGACTAAGATAGCCTACGAAGAAAGGCCTGGAGATCTGCTCCTGAACATCAGCCAGTGAAATCACAATGGTCTCATCCCGTGCATGGGGTCCCCATGAGTTGGGGGCTGACTTGACGGCAGCTAACAACAACATGCTTTCTTTAGCCGCTCAGAGGAAGGGGGCCAGCGGGCCAGGGCAGCCTGGTCTCTCCCTTCCAGACTTATCCAGGTATGTTTTCCTGTTTTTGCCTCCATGTCGGTTTCCAACCCCCAGTCTCCAATCCCTTCCAAGTTCCTCCACTGAATACAAGGGCCGTAAAATCCACCTGCTCCAGAAAGCCGCCCTGACCATACTCCATGAGCCCCTGAGCCTTGGGGCTCCTCCTCTGTGCTCTGAAGTCCCTCATCACTTTCTGCTGAGAGCACACACCTGCCAGATGCAGGCATCATACTAGGTGCCAGGGACACAGCCCTGCCCTGGGGAAGCACAGCGCCTGGCCTTTTCTCCACCCTACGCTGTGCAGAGGGCAGCCCTCAGAAGGTGCATGCACAGCACCGGTTTGCTGGAATGAATGCCTGGCACAGAGGGAGACCCCAGGAAGCCCCCCTACCTGGGCATCCAGAGAAAGGAAGCTGCCTGGGGAAGGATCCCCTGTCCAGAGAGCAGCTCACCTGCCCCATGTCTGCAGGCCTCCCTCAACAGGGCAATCGCTGGCCCAAACGCACCCTAGTCCATTTCCACTACCAGACGCCAGCTCCCCACAGCTTCCTGTCCTGGGTCTCCTCTCCACCAGAAACGCTGAATCATCCTGGCCCTTCTGCAGCTCAGAAAAACGGATAAACCAGCAGGCACTGGGCGGGGGCAGCATCTTTGGAATGTCAGCCTCTCTGACAGCGAAGATACAGCAAAGAGCCGCTCGCTCGCGCTTGCCTAGTTCCTTATATCAGAAAGAGGAATTGAGCTAGTAAGCATTTCTCAATTCCTACTCCTGGGCCAAGGCACCCCCCCGCCACGCCCCAAGTGCTAAGTTCTCGTAATTGCATTTAGGTTTTTAATAGTGATCTTTATTTTTTTTTTTAAGTGTGATTTGGATTTTTCATGTTTAGGGGATGTGAAATCCTTCCTGCTTCCCAGCCATGGCCAGATGTGGCGGGGCAGCCCAGGACAAGTCTGGCAGCACCTGATGGGCCGACAGCTGGGGGCCTGTCACTCACTCTTACAGCAGCTGGGACTCGAGGAAGCTGTGACAACCCCCTTTATTTATAAAAATATCCCTCTGCTGCCACGTCTCCAACTGTGGCACACCCTAATTTGGTGATAGCAGCAATATAGAACATCTGGGGGCTGTCTGTTTGCAAACCCTCACCCCTTTGCTCTCCCCTCTGCTGCTTCTCTGACACCCCACCCCAGGAACCTGCAGACTAGGGCAGGATAAGCTAGGCGCTCTCAAAGGCACCTCCTTTAAACACTGATATCCGGGTTGCCCAAGCTTTCTTGGCCTGGGACAATTACGGACCTGCCAAGATACCCTGAGGCACACTGAGAGAGGCTGATGGGGAAGAGAGGCAGGTGCCTTCTTCTGCCCACAGGCCAGCTCTTTTCCATGTATTTCAACTGTCAAAGGCATACAGTGGTACCCCATTTTCAGTAGGTAGGCCGATAGCCTCAACCCCAAAAGACAAACCACATCTCCAAGTAAAAGCCACCAAAATAGCCACGAATGCCCGTAGTGAATGAATGCATTTTCCTCCTTGGGCTCTCACACAGAGCTTTACCGACTCTTACTTAACACACAATTTTAACATCCTTGGTGTCTAAGTTCCAAGCCTGCTAAAAACGAGGAGCACAAGAGTTTGAAAGGAGAAGCCATGAGGGCCATCAGAAGCATGAGGACAATAGAGTGGCAACCAACCAGCAGCTTGATGTAAAAGGAGAAAGCATAGGCCAGCAGCGTGGAACACTCTGACAATGAGGGACCCTGAGCCACCGGCTCAGGCCCGTACCTTCTGTTGAAGAAAACAGAAAATATTTAACATATTTTAGAGGATTTCCACCAAAAATAGTCTTGGAGTTTACTTGCTGGTATCTCTCAGTGGGAGGAGCATTGGATCTGGTTCTATACCAGGTTCCTCTGTTTATTGTGAGGTGCTCCGCAACCATTTTGCCCTCCTGACCTCAGGATCCTCTTCCGTAAAAGGTACAAGAATGCCACTTTCATGGGACTGTTCTGAATGTCAAATGAGAGGTATGTAAGAGTTCCAAACAAGTATGAGCACCGGCTATTATTTCCACTACCACTGCTGAACGGAGCAAGCTTCAGTTTTCCGGAACATTCATTAATGTGGAACCTTGTCCAGCGAGAGGGAGTTACAATGTGTGAGTGTACAATTGAGGAAACAAACACACATCCATATGCACATACGGTTCAAAGAACCTCTCATCCTATCGACTTGTCCCTAGATATATTGACCCCATATTGCAAACAGAAGCCCAGAGAAAGTTAGGCACCTGTCCAAGGTTGCACAGCATATCAAAGGTAGAACAGGTCTGCCAGCCCCAGTCCCAGGCTACTCCTGCTGGCCGGGGCTACCCCAGTGTGCCCTCTGTCCCACCCTCAGGGCCAGGCAGGTCCTTACCTCATTCTCGTAGACCAGCAGTTGGGCGTGGCAGAGGAGCAGGTAGCGATCTTTCCAGAGACTCAGGAGGCCCCCGCCACTCTTCTTGATCCAGCCGGCCTTGTCCGCGGTCCGTGCTCCCCGAGGCCTCTCCCTCCCCTCCTTCACGCCCTGTAAGACAGTACCAGGACATGCCGTGAGGGCTGCTGCCACGGGGCCACAGGCCACATGAGGGGTGTGTCCCTGTGCTGGGTACCCACAACTCCCAAACCAAATATCCCTAGTCCAGTAACAGTAATAACAGCAGCAGCTGTAATAGTCACTGCAGCAGCCACCTTATACCGAGCCATGGTGATTAGTACCACACGTGTCGTCTCATCTAACCTGTACAGCTAACTGCCCTCTGAGATGTGCCATCATCACCCACACGGCACAGCAAACTGAGGCTCAGAAAGCAGAGAGGGCTGGCCCAGGGTCACAGAGCTGGAGGGACAGAGCCAGAATTTCAAACCAGGTGTCTCTGGACCCTCCTTTCTTCCCACTCCACCATTCTGCCTCCCTTAACATCCAATCATGGGTTCACTCAAGCAGTCAACAAACATCGTACTGAACACCTACAGCGTCACATGCGCGGGGCTAGGCCGAAGTGAATAAAAACAACGCAGTCTCTGCCCTCAAGGAACTCACGTTGGCGGGGAGGAGGAGCTGAACAAATAAACACCAGACATAAGCGCAGTAACAATTGTGAAATGCTAAGAAGGAAACAAACAGCGGGCTGCAAGAGAGGACAGTGGGGGACCTGGCTCAGGTCAGGGTGGCCCAGGAGGGCCTCCCAGAGGAGGTGCTGTTTAAGCAGGGATCAGAAAGATGGGAGGAACAGGCAGCAGAGAGGTAATCGGCCTCCCTAGCCCATCCTTCCATAGAACCCACTCAGCAGCCCCTACTTCCTGCCCCTGCCCCCGCCCCAGGCCAGGACTTCAGGGCGGCCACCCGCTGGAGACAAGCCCATCTGGTAAGGGCTCCAGGGCTCTCCGCCTTTGACCACAGGCTGGACAGGGGCAGCCAACCCGGAGCCTCAAGGCTGGCCACCGACATCCTGTGCCCCCTCCATTACTTGCCTGGGTGGCTGGGTGCCAGGTACAGCTAGCCCACCAGATGGGGCCAGATGCACCTCTGAGTCCTCAGCACCCAGCACTGTTCTTTTACACATAATAAGTGCTCAAGATATCTGTGAATGAAAATAAATATACACCCAATTTGCTTACCACTGTGCTTCAGTGACTGGTACCTCCGAGTAGAGAGTATAGAGGGGAGGGGAAAGGAAAGGGGGCCAAGAGGTGTCCGAATCTACAGGATGCTAGAAGGAAATCAGCACTGACTAATTCTGAATGTACTTTTCATTTACATAAAACTCAGAAACGGGGCCCCAATCAAAAGAGACACGCCTCTCCCCAGGGATACCCTGTGGCCACAGCTGCCTTAGGAAGGACAAGCCCAGGCAGATGTAGGTGTGGTAAGATGTCAGCAGCTGGGCTGGGCGGGGCGGGGCAGGCCTCTGCTCTCCAGCGAGGCAGAGCAGCCCCAGCCTGGTTCTCACTGTGAACTGCAAATTCTGGTGGTTGGGAGTCTGGCCTTTGAAACCCAAATCAGACAGACCAGAGGCAAATCACTTAACCCCTCTAAGCCTCAGTTTCTTCATCTGTGAGCTGGAGATATTAACAGAAATTGCAAGGATTAGAACTCCATGAGGGCAGGGATTTTTGTTTTGTTTACTACTGTACCCTCGATGTCTAGAACAGTGCCTGGTACACAGTAGGTGCTTAATAAATGTTTGTTGCTGAATAAAGATAAGGCACGTAAAGCAGAGTCTAGTATAGCTAAACTTGGCCAACGGTAGCCGCCGGTCTTGTTACTGTTGCTGTCACTGCCATCCTGTCTGCTTCTCGTGGGCCCTCTCCCTGGGCATGGTGCAGAATTCAGGACAAGGCCTTCCTGGGCTAGAGATGCTGGGCCTCTGTGCTCCAGGGGTTCCAGGAATGTGCGGTGCCCCCTCGGGGTCTCCCTTGACTTGTAGATGGCAAGAGAAATGGAGAAGTGGGATGGTCCCAAATGGCCTTCCCGGATGGAGGAATGAGGAAGTGGAGGCATGCCCATAGGTCAGTTATGAGCCACCCTGTCCAGAGGAAGAAGGGACTTCATTTCAGGGCCCTTTGACAACAAGAGGGAGGCTCTCACAGCCTATCCCTACACCGGGCAGCCCCCTCCCCACTCAATACTAACACCCTGTGTTCAGCTCCCAATGAGCCGTGTGACCTCCAGAAGTCCAGACCCCTCAGTGGCCCCCTGAGGGCTGTCACAGGCCCAGGGCTAGAAGGGTAGAACTGAGAAATGAGAAACCTCACCCCCACACTTCACACACTCATGTTCCTTCTATGGGCAAAACTGCCTACAGCACCACTGGCCACGTCGTAGGCCTGCCGTGGCCTGGATGGGCAAACTTCGGAGTCTCTTAAATAAGGCAGTGGAGGCTGTGGCGTATAGAGCTGTCGCCCAAATCTCCCACCTCTGAGCTCCAGGCTTACCTCCTGCTTTTCAGGGGGCCCACCCACCACCCCATGGGATCTCACACCCCTTTTCTAAACTCCCTCTGCTCAGGACCCCTGCCTGCCTCATCTGCTGTCTGCCACGTGAAGTTCCCAGGGGCAAGGTGGGACCTTGTGTCCCGACCACTGCCCTCTCTGGCCTAGCAGAGCAGGCCCAGAGAACACTGTGGTTGGATTAGCTAGAGAGGCAGGTCTAGGGCTGGTGGGACCAGGGCAGGGCTGCAGCAGGAAGCTTTGGGATTGGGGGTGGGGTGACTGAGGAGCTGGAGGTCGCATGAACCAAAGCTCAGGGAAGGGTTTTCCTGTCAGGATTACCCACGGCAGCAGCCACCCCATGGGAGGCCTGGTTGGAAGCCAGGGTTCTGCTTGCCTGCCACTCTCCACCCAGCCCCTCTCCCTGCCTCTCAGACTGCTCCCACCAGGGGGCCTGGCTCGGCCCCAGTAAGTTTTAATAATTGGCCCCTTCCCTTGGCAGGGCTCACAGCAGAGGTTTTGTCCTGCTCAGCCCAGTTTCTCGGCCTCCTCCCCTCTTACTGACCAGCTGACCACTGTTCTTCCTGTTTCACTCTCTCCCCTCCCATCCGTCCTCACCCAGGCCCTCCCCAATGGCTGTGAGCAGCTCCGGAGGCACCCCTGGGGCACCAGCCTGGCTCCCCTTTGCCTGAGGTGGGAGGGTCTCTGGGTGACTCACTGAAAAAAAAAAGATGCCAGGTGACTCTGACCCTCTGCACAGAGAGGAGCGAGTGGAAAGCCACAACACACAACACAGACCATGACAGAGAGACAAAGACCAACAGAAGAAACGTTGTTGGCTAGTCAGCACCTCACATCACAGGAAGCTTGTGACAACTTCTGCCCTTTGACTAAACCCAGTGATGCTCCGAACAAATTCTACTAAGAACCCACCATGTCAGAGCCCTGTGATGGGGCAATCAGAGAGAGGAGGCACAGGCTCTACCCAGGTGGAACTCCCAGTCTAATGAGGGAGACCCAGTTCCCACCCTTAGGGAATCCACAGACAGATGGGGGACACAGCAATCTGGGGGAACTTCCAGTCTGGTGGGGGTGACATAGACCCTGCCCAAAGGAAGTCTCCAATCTAGAGGGTGGGTGGGCACTCCCTAGTAGAGAGGGTCCCAGTCTGTTGGGAGAGACATAGGACCTACCCTGAGGGATCCTCCAGTTCTGACTCTCAGGTAGGGTAAAGGCTTAGGAAGTCCCTGCAGAAGGTAGGGTTTGGGTAGGGATGAAGAGGAGACAAGACACACTTGGCCCAGAGGAGAAGGAAAGATACAAATGGTATCAAAGACCCTAAACTCTCAACCCTTTCACCATAGAAGAAGAAAGCCAGGCCTATCTTTGGGGACGTCTAGCTCAACTGGCATAACATAGTCTACATCCGACTATGGTGAGTTAACTACTGGGGTCATAAAAGCCAGCAAGCAGCCATCTAACATACATCTACTGGTCCCATCCCAACTAGAGCAAAAGAGAATGAAAAAGACCAAAGACACAAGGGAAAGATTAGTCCAAAGGATTAATGGACCACAACTACCACAACCTCTACCAGACTGAGCCCAGAACAACCAGATGGAGCCTAGTCACCACCATCGACTGCTCTGGCAGGGATCATAATAGAGGGTCCCAGATAGAGGGGGAGAAAAATGTAGAAAAAAATTCAAATTCACACATACACATGCAAAAAAAAAAAGACCAGGCTTGCTGGTCTGACAGAGTCTGGAGAAACCTTGAGAGTATGGCCCCCAGACATCCTTTTAACTTAGTAATGAAGTCACTCCTGAGTGACTTCCTTCAGCCAGAGATTAGACAGGTCTTTAGGGCCAACAATCACACACATGAGGGACGTGCTTCATAGTTCAATCATGTGTACAGGACTCATGGGCACACCAGCCCAAAAGCAAAGACGAGAAGGCAGGGACAGGAAAACTGTACAAATGGAAACAGGGAACCTGGGATGGAAAAGGGGAGAGTGTTGACAGATCACAGCGTTGGCAACCAATGTCACAAAACAATTTGTGTATTAACTCTTTAATGAAAGACTAATTTGCTCTGTAAAGTTTCACATAAATCACAATAAGAAAAAAAAGAAAGGCAAGCCCAGAGAGGGCAAGAGATTAGCCCGAGATCATAAAACCCATACTAGGACAGACAATGCCCTGCCTTTCAAGGTGGGTGAGGGCAAATGAGCAGCCTGGAGTCACCCAAGGCAGAGCCAGGGAAAGGCAGCACTGCGGGACAGGAGAGGGACAGAACCCCAGGACAGAGACAGGAAAAGCTGTGAGCAGTGTTTTCAACATTACTCCAGTGGTAGTAATAATACTCTACATTGATATTTGCAGTTTTCAAAGCTCTTGCACACACATCATCACATTTTTGGCTATCCCCTCCCTTCACTTTACAGATGGGGAAACCAAGGCCCTGAGAACACAGGTGGGCAGATGTCCAGACCAGCACGTCTTCACAAGTCTCAGCCTGGTGGAAGCCACCAGCGCATTGAACAGAGGGTGTCACTGAGGCTGAGGGGGCTTGCCATGCAAGGCGAGGAAGCTCAAAACGAGGGGGAGGCTGAAAGCAGCCGTTTGGGAGTGAGGTGATAAGGCCTTCCTGAGACTGGGGTCAGGTGACAGAGCAGGTGACTACGATCTAAGACATGTTTTAGAGAAATAAAGATGGGCGCTGAGGCCTAGAGGAACAAGGGGACGCTACTGAGAGAGAAAGTGGGGGGAAAGGAGAGCTAGGGATACCAAAGGGGAGACAGGGGACAGGGGCCCTGGGTGCGTGGGTGTGGCTGGGGCAGGGGTGCAGGCGGTTAAGACCACAGAGTCCCAGGTATGCCAGGGGCTTTGGGCATCTGGGAGTCAGTAAGTGGTAATGCTAGAGACTCAAGACCAGAGGGAGTGACCAGAGCTGGGCTGGCCATGGACAAACCATTGGCCCAGGAGGCCCCAGGAGAACTTCTCTTAATTGGGGGCCAGGGTACACCGGAAAATGGAGTAATCCCGACCCATATCCTCTGGGAGCAGGGGAGGGGCCTCAGGCAGAGAACCTAGCTCTGGAAGCAGCAGGGGCGGGGGCGGGGGAGAGCAGCCCCACCCCTGTCAGCAAGAAACCACAGCAAATCATAGTGGCCTGACTTTGCTGCCTACCTCCAACCACTCCGAGAGAAGGGGCCACAGTCATACCGTCAGCCCAGAGAGGAGACTAGGCCCTATATTTTATAGACGAGGAAATGCAGGCACAGAGGGGAAGTGACTTATCTACCATCCCACAGAAATGCAGGGCCTGGCCTGGAGAGAACACTGATGGCCAGCACCGGCTGCCCCTGGGCAGTGGCCCCTGGAAGTAGGGATGTGGGTACTGATGGGGACACGGGCAGCCTCTTCCACTCAGGGATCCCCAACTGGCCAGGGTCACCCCAAGAATGATGGTTTCACCTTTCTTCCCTACCCATCCAGGCATAGACCTATCCCTTCCCACAAGCTGAGAGGGACAGAAACTGGGACTCCTTCAAGGGATAAGAAGCAAAGTCAGCACTATTCTCTAGACCCAGCAGGCACCTCCTAACTTACTCATTCCACAGGCATACATACAGTAAGTGCTTGCTGTGTGCTGGACCCTTGGATGATGGGCTGCTGGGAGAACTGGGTATGCAAGGAGAGGGCAGGGGTCGCAGGGCGCCTGACCCCACCTCAGACTAGCAGTTTCCTGAGAGGGAAGAAGGAGGCTCAAGGGGCACTGCTGGTCCAGCTCTTGCCCGGAGGTCTCCCTCCCTCCGATGTGGTGAAGGCAGAGACCAGGATCAGCCCTTACGCAGACCAGACTCCGAAGCTAGAGCGTACACAGACGGATGTGGGGCGGGGACGAGGGTAGGGGGAAAAGCGACTCGCAGGGACTTATACAGGGGAGAAAAATGAAACTTCTCCACTTCTCTCACCACCCGGCACGGCTACGGCCTCAGTTCCTTAGGTCAGGGACCCCGGAACCCAAAGACTCCCGACAGCACACACACACCCGGCTTGCCCCCTCGGGATCCAGTCTGATGGGAAGGGCGTAGGGAGGGATTCAACGGTAATGTGGGTTCGAGTCCAGCTCCCTAGACTACTTTCAGCAAGTCGCCAAACTCGCTTCAGTCTCCCCGTTAGCCAATAGGGACAATAACAACCACGACCCCCCACAGTTGTGGGAGAAGCCAAAGAGATAATAAAGGAGGATGCGGTCTGCGAGGCGTCCAGCGCAGATCCCTATCCCCGCCCCTGCCCCACCTGCCTAGGCTCTTTCTGGGGGGGTGGTAGTCCCTAGACGGTGGGGAGTGGGGAGGGCAGGGCCAAGGGCCTGAGCCCATGACCCCAACCGCCGTGAGGGGATCGAAGACCCCAGCCCAGCCTCCCCCGCCGCCTAGTCCTGTCCTCACCTCCTCCATGGCGAATCAGCTGAGGTCCGGCCGCTCCGCCGCTCATTCCCGGCACCGCGCGGGCTCCGCCACCTCCATCCGCGCCCGGCCGGGCGGCGGCTCTCGACGTTCTGTCCCGCCAGCCGCCGGGGGCCCAAGAAACTTCGGGGGGGCGGGGCC